AGCGGGGACATCCCTCGGCCGTCACCCACAGGAAATGGAAGGTGCAGCCGTCGCAGGTGCCCTCGGGGCATTTGCTGGGGAGGGACAAAAAGGGGGGGGCTCAGGTGACGGTGACACTCGAAAGTGGGGATTACAGCTAAGGTGACACCCCAAGGTCGGGACAGCATGACAGCAGTGTCCCCAAAGTGAAGCACTCCAAAGTATCTACCGATAACAGCAGGGGATCTTGGAGGTTCCCAAACCTCCCCTGGGAACTCCTTTGTTTCACTGCCAACCTGAGTACACGCAGGGCGCCGGTGACACAGCCAGGATGACACCTCAGGGTGAGGGAATCTGACGCCATGTCAGTGTCATCCCCAGAGCAAAGCACCTCAGGGAAATGCCCACCCATGACAGCAGGAGATGTTTTGGGTCACTTTGGGAGACCCCTAAGCCCTCCTTGGTGTCCCCAGTGTCCCACCGCGCCCCCCCCCCCCCCCCCCCCCCCCCCCCCGGGAACAGCCAGGGTGACGCCTCAAAGTGAGGGACACTGACACTGTGGCTATGGTGTCTCCAAAGCAAGGCACCCCAGGGATATGCCCAACCCTGACAGCAGGAGATGCTGTTCACCCAAAACCCCCCTTGGGGTTCCCCGTGTCCCCTCCCCACCTCGGGACAGCCAGGGTGCCAATGCCGACACGCAGGGGGTCACAGCGTAGGCGGATGGTGGTGGCCCGGCCACCACTGCAGGGCTGTGTCATGTCGTTGGACCTGCCAGGGGACATGGGGGGTCAGGAGGACAGTGGGGTACAGTGTGGGTGTCAACCCCCTGTCACCTGCCTGCACCTGAAGAAGAAGATGATGTCAGGCAGGTCAGGGTGGCTGGGGGGGAAGAGCTCTGGGGGAGACACGATGCCGTCCAGCACGGAGCTGGTGGTGACACCTGCAGGGAGAGAGGGGTGTCTCCAGTCCCACTGGGGTGTGTTCCAGTCCCAGTGTCCTAGTGCCACCAGAGGGTCCCAGTCTTACTAGGGTGTCCCAGTGCCACCAGGATATCCCAATCCCAACAGGGTGTCCCAGTGTCAGTGTCCCAGTCCCACCAGCATGTCTCAAGTCACACCATGGTGTCCCAGTCCCACTGGGGTTGTCGGTGACATATACCAGTGACAATGTCCCAATCCCAAAAAAGGTGCTCTGTAGTGTCCCAATCCCACCAGGGTGTATTTCAGTCCCATTGGGGTGTCCCCATGGCACCAAGGTATCCCAGTGCTGCTGAAATGTCCTAGTGCCAGTGTCCTAGTCCCAGCAGAGTGTCTCAATCCCACCAGGGTATCCCACTCTCAGTGCCACTGGGATGTCCTGGTCCCTGTGCCACCAGGCTGTCCTAGTCTCAACGCGGTGTCCCACTCTCAGTGCTGCAAGATTGTTCCAGTTCCTGTCCCACACATGTGTCCCAGTCCCCCTGACGAGTCCCAGTGTTGGTGTGCCAGTGCCACCAAGATGTTCCAGTGTCTGTCCTGCCCATGTGTCTTAGCGACCTCGGGGTGTCCCAGTGCCCCAGGGTGTCCCCCCTCCCTCCCTGCTCACCCAGCAGGTGGTCACCCAGGCTGACAGGCTGAGAAGACACAGCTGTGCGGGCACCGGTGACATCGGAGGGCACCAGAATGGCCTGGCACACATAAGAGGTGACCACCCGGGCAGGGCCCCCCAGACCTGCCGTGACATTGTCTGCACATGAGGCCATTTTCCTGCCCTGTGGGGACATACATGACACACGTGTGTGGAGTGAGACTGTGCATACAAGGGACGGGCATTTGTGTGTGCAGGGCCATGGGTGTACAGGTGTGGCTGCACAAGTGTCCATATGTGTTTACACGAGTGTTCACATGTGTCTGCACAACTGTGCAGGTGTGTTTGTGTGACTGTGCACAAGTGATTGCACAAGTGGGCGGGTGTGTATGTGCAAATGTGACAGTATGTACACCTGTATTTGCACACCTGCATGTGGGAATGTGTGTTTGCATACACGTCCTTGTGTTTGCATGACTACAAGAACATATGCACATGTGTGTCTGTGTCTGCCCACCTGCATGCCCCATCCTGTCTGTGTGCCCAGGTGTGTGCCCGTGTTCGCCTATGCAGATGCCCATGTGTGCATTGTATTTGTGAGCAATCCTGCCCATGTGTGCCCACCTGTGTTCCTGTGCCCACCCTCCTGAGTACCCACCCATTGTGCCCATCTTTGCACTCGTGCTTGTGCCCACCCACTTGTGTGCCCACCTGTGTGCTCGTGTTTGTACTCATGTGCCTGTGAGTGCACACACCCCCTGTGTGCTTGTGTTTGCACTTGTGTTCCTATGACCACTCCCCCATGAGCCCAGTTGTGTTCCCATACATTCATGCACGATCCTCTGCTCTCCTGTGTGTGCCTCTTGTGTGCCTTCCCAGGTGTGTTCCCATGTCTGCATGCATGTTTCCATGGCCTCCTGCCCATGTGTGCCTACTCTCCTGAGTGCCCACTCATGTACCTGTGTTTGCACTCGTGTGCCTGTGCCCGCCCCTGGGTGTGTTCCCATGTGTGCACTTGTGTTTGCCCACACGGCTCTCACCTGGTGCCCACAGAGGCTCAGGCGGAAGTGATGGCTGTAGCGCAGCCCTTTGGGGGTGAAGCCGGGCCCGGTGCCCACCCCGGCACCTTGGCCCAGCGACGGGAACTCGAAGTGCAGCATCCGGCCTGGCAGTGCCAGTGCCAGGCTGCAGTTGTTGTAGCATAGCGATCGCAGCTGGGAACAGGGACAGGGAGCTCAGGGATGGCCATGCACTGGGTGCACTGGGGACCCCTTGTGGGGGACTCTGGAGAGCTGGCACCACCCCTGAGAGACAGCAGGGCCATAGTGGCATCCACCAGGGTCACCCACTGCCACCCACCAGTGTCAGATACTGTCACCCATCTGGGATGGCTGGGAGGGGCTGGTGTCATCTCTCTGGGGACAGCTGGGGGCCTGGCATTACCCACCCAGGATTAGACATTGTCACCCACCTTGCCATCCACCCAGGATTGCCACAGGGTTGGTGTCACCTCCCTGGAGACGGCCAAGGAGGGCAGGCATCACCCACTCTGGGTCAGACAGTCACCCACACTGCCACCCATCCTGTCACCCACCCAGAATGGCTGTAAGGGGCTGGTGTCACCTTCATGGGGACACAGTGTCATGCACCGAGGATGACTGGGGGAGGCTTGTGTCACCCACCCGTGATGGTGTCACCCTCCGGGTGCTAGCCAGTGCCACCATCTGGGACATCCTGGCTCTGGGGGAGGCTGGTGTCACTCCTCTGGGGCCCATTGGCATCACCCATAGGGACACTTATGGACACTTGGACCCCCTGCCATCCCCAGTCACCTGGTTGCTGCGTGTGCCAGGGCCACAGGGGTGGCAGGTGGGTGTCCCGTCGGAGGGGTGGCCCCGCAGGTAGGTGCCAGGCGGGCAGGGCTGGCAGGTGCCCGAGCTGGGGTCCACAGCACTGCCAGGGGAACACGGGGCACAGGACCCAGTGGGCTGGGGGGCACAGCGGCGGCAGAAGGAGGCCACCCCCCCCTGCACATTGGTGACGTTGATGCTGTACAGCTTGGCCACATCACTGGTGAACCGCCGGCCCTGGCACCGAGAGCACCATCACCATCTGCCCCCCACCCTCCCCCAGATCCCCCAAAGTGGGGGCCCTCCAGCCCTCTCAAAGCAGGGCTCCCTGTCCCTCACCGCCTCGTGGTAGGGGGTGCGCTGGAAGGCCCAAGTGAAGCTCATGGTCGCGTTCTTCTCCACCAGGTAGGTGTAGGATTGTTTCCCTGTGGAGCCTGTCCATGTCTCTACCGGAGTGTTGGTGTGTGAGTTGACACCCTGTGGGGACGGCAGAGGTGGCACCACCCAAGTTCACTGTGCCCCCCCCGAAACTGCTGTGTCTTCCCACTCACCACCATAAAGTAGAGCTCACAGCCAACGCTGCAGAGCGTCTCGAAAACGAAGGTGATCCTGGCTACCTCCCTGCTCTCTGTGTCCTCTAGCACTGGGCTTGGAGGGCTGGGGACAGCGTGGGGACACTGCTAGCTCTGCTCCATGGCTGTGTCCCCCCTGCTCCCTGATGTTGGCCCCCACCTCACCTGAAGCCAGGGACCACCAGCGTGAGGATCATGAAGTCGCTGTCAGAGGCTCCAGCTGCCGTGTAAATGTAGTCCCCAGCTACCTCCCAGCCTGCAGGGGTGCAGTGACACTCAGAGAGGTCCCTGGCTGTGCCCCAGCAAGGGACAGGGAAGGGACAGACCTCTGCCACTACCTGCAATGCCCTTGTACTCGAAGTTGATGCCGCTGAGCACGGTGGTCTCCATGTTGGGAGGCAGCACGTTCCACCACTTGTACTCCAAGCCCAGCACTGGCTCAGTGCCCTCTGGGCAACTGAGACAGGCTGGGGAGAGAAGGCAACAGCCCTGCACAGGGGTGGCACCCACCTCCCCCTCTGTCAGCTTGGTGTGCCCTGCTTACCCCTTGAGGCCAGTGATGGGGACAAGAGGGGACAGCCCTGCACTAGAGTGGTACCACATTACCCTCCCTGCAGCTTGGGATGACCTGGTAACCACCTCTTGGGGACAATGGTGGAGACAGGAGAGGACAGCTCTCTACTGAGATGGGACCCATCTTCCCTAGGCAGCTCCAGGGATCCCAGTTACTTACTGGGGACAATAACTGGGATGTTCTTACTGGATACATAGGGACAGCCCTGCACCAAGGTGGTACCACTTTTCTCTCTGTCAGCTTTGGGTGCTTTGGTCACCACTTTGGAACAATGATGGGAACAGGATGGGACAACCCTGCACTGAGGTGGCACTCACATCCCCCTGGTAGCCCCAGAGACCCCAGTTATTCCTTGGGGCAGTGGTGGGGGTGTCCTTATTGGAGCCATGGGGACAGGAGGGGACAACCCTGCACAGGAGTGGCACCCACCTTCCCCCAGCAGCTCAGGCTGCCCCAGTCACGCCTTGGGGACAATGACGGGGCCACCTTACCGGAGCCATTGGAATAGAAGCCATAGGGACAGGGCTGGCAGGTGCTGCTGTTGCCTTTGGCGAAGCCAGGGTTGCAGGGGGGGCATCGTGTCTTGACCCCCGAGGATGGCAGCCGGGTCGCCTGCGGCAGCTCCTCACTGCAGATCTTGGGCTCTGCCCACTTGTACATCAGCTGGGTCTGCCAGGGCAGCAGGTGAGCTGAGGGGGACACCGGGGACAGGGGGCCCACCCCGGGCTGCCCCTGCATTACCTCCCCACGGGCATCGCAGGCCGTGTGGATGTAGAAGAAATCCTTGTCCGTGCAGGGCGGGCGTGGCTTGCAGGACCCCGAGCCGGGCTCTGCCGAGGGGGAGCACGGCGGGTGAGCCAGCACAGCCCGGGGACCCCAGCGCTGTCCCCACCACGCGGGGTGTCCTTGTCTTCCCTCCCAGCCAAGGGATAGCGGGTGCTCCCTACTCCCCACATCATCTCTCCCTCCCCCAGGGCCACTCCTGCCGTGCAGATTGCGGGGACAAAGGGACCCCTAAGGGTGTCCCCCCTCAGCAGCGTAGGTGTCAGGTTTGACAGGGGTGCCAACACTGTCGCCACCAGGGGATGTCAGGTCACCCCTGCTCCCCACATCACCCCTTCCCTTCCCAGGGTCAAATACTAGAGGGATAGCTCTGGGCGGGGGCAGCCCCGGGTGTCCCCTCTCACCGGCGTAGGTGTCAGGGTCGCAGGGCTGGCAGGCGGTGGCCCCTTTGCCAGAGAAGGTGTCAGCGGGACAGGGCTGGCAGGCGGCTGAGCCGGCAGCGGGAGCGAAGGTGCCGGGCTTGCAGGGGAAGCACTCCGAAGTGAAGGCCACCCCTGGGAGCGGGAGGAGTCTCAGGTAGCAGAGACGGGAGTGCACGACCCCCGAGACCCTCCTTCCTGCCCCCAACCCACCTGTAATGCCGATGTTCCTCACCAGCACCGGTTTAGGCACCTTGGACCAGACGGAGAAGGCGGTGGTCCGCCAGTACAGCACGTTGTTCCCACGGCTCAGCTCCACCTGGGAGAAGGATCCCATGAGATTGGGTAATCCCACGGGATTGGGTAATCCCACTGCCAGGGATGGGTTTGGCACCATGGGTGGGGGATCCCGCTGCCGAGGAGGGGGCTGGCACCAGTGGAGGGGGGTGTGTGGCACCCCCGTCTGTCCCCACCCATCGCCCCCTCCTCAGCCTCATGGAGCATCTTCGTCCCACGGGAGGGACGAGAAACGCCGGGGCAGCACCGAGGGACCTTCCCCCGGTGTCACCTCCCACCGAACACTCACGCTGTGGAATTCCCAGCCCTTCTCTGTCGTCCGCATCCAGCGGGACTCCTCCACCGTGGGCTGGCACTGGTCGTTCTGCACCTGCAGGGAGAGTGTCAGGGACCCCATGTTCACAGGGAACCCTGCATGTCCCCATGGACACACCCCCATGCTCCCAGGGACCCTCCATATTCCTAGGGACCCCTCCTCATGTCTCCATGAACCACTGCCATATCCCATGGGGCTCCCCTCATGTCACCAGGGACCCCTCCATGTCTGCAAGGATCCCCATGATGTCCCCAGGGACCCCTCACATATATCCAGGGCACCCTTCCCCATGTCCCCAGAGACCCCTGTCACATCTACCAGAGATCCTGGGACGCACATCATGTCCTAAGGGACTCCTTCCATGTCTCCAGGGACCCCTGAGGAGTCTCCACAGACCCACTCAGGTCACAAGGGACCTGTCCCATGTACCTAGGGACCCTTAATGCCATCTAGGACCCTCTCCCATATCCCTATGGACCCCTCCCATGCCCCCAAGGACCCTCTCATGTCCCCAGAGACCCATATCCTCCACCCTGTCCCCGTCACCCACGAAGAATTCGAAGACGATGCTGCTGTCAGGGTAGATGTACTCGAAGGTGACAGTCCCCGACTGTTTGAGGCTCACAGCATACATGAGGGTGGCCGTGCACTCGTCTGTGTTGGAGGCCACGTAGTCCCCCAGTGGCACCCACGTTGACCTGGGGCAAGTGATATATCCTGTCACAACTCTCGGCAGGCAGGACAAGGATTGTAGGGACAGTTGGGAGGGTCCCCAGGAAGCAGGGGAGAAATGGGGGGCTCAGGGCTTGGGCACATCTTAGGGACATGGCAAGGTGTGATGGCTAGCCACATCTCCCTTGGGAGAATCCCCTGGCCTGCTGAGAGCCGTGTGGAGTGTGGACTGCAAGGAGAAGAGGATGGGGTCCCCCTGTTCTGGGAATGTGGCTGGATGAGGAACACACTACTGGGAGTAGGGAATGCATAAGACGGGCATCAATGGAGCAGCGTGGAGGTGCCAGTAAAACTGAGAGTTTGGTGGTTTTTGGTAAATCTGGGAGGGTTTCTTGGTTGTTGGTACAACTGGGAAGGCTCAGTGGTGTGGTACAACCAGGAAGGTTTGGCTGTTGGTATTTGTTGTGTACCAGTGGCTGCTGGCACAACCAGTTGGTGGGAAATTCAGTGGCAGCGGAACAACTGGGAGGGCTTGGCAGCTGCTGGTACAACTGAGAGGCCTTGGTGGCTGTGGTACATGTAAGAGGGTTTTATGGCTGCTGGTGGGATGTTTAATGGCTATGCAACAACTGGAAGGGTCTGGTGGCTGCCAGCACAACCAAAAGAGCTCAGAGGTTGCTAGTGAGGATCAAAGGACTGTGGCAGTAAAGGCTCTCGCTGGTGGCATGGGGGTGTGGGGACCCCCATGGGTCCTTTAGAGAACCCCATAGGAGCTCTGGGGACCTCCATGGGTGCTCCATTCCCAAGGAATTTGGTGTGGAGGTCCCATGGGTTTGGGGTCCTGCCACTTCTTGGGAATGGGGGATGCTGCTAGGTGTTCCCCTGCTGTGACCAGGGTGCCCCTGTAATGCTCTGCTGGTGTCACCTCCCAGGGCAGGATGACAGAAGGGTGTCGGGGCAGCTGGATGCACAGGGGCACTATGGATGCACAGGGGTGTCACACCCATCATGCTCCCTGTGTCCCGCATCCAGTGCTGACAGGCCAGGTGCCCGTGTGCTGGCGTCACAGCCAGTGACACTGTGACTCACGCGGTGCAGTTCTCTGCCGCATCGCCAAAGCTGTCATCCACCTCCAGGTTGGTGGCCACGTTGGCGAAGCCATGGGGCACCTCGTCCCACTCATCGAAGCGGACACCAGTGCCCAGCGAGTAGGTGCCCGCAGCGCAGGGCCGGCATGTCTGCGTCTGCATCTCCAGGAACTCACCCGCCTTGCAGGAGAATGCTGCCAATGGAGACGGGGGCACAGGGTGTGGAAGGTCATCCCCAGTCCTCCTGGTGCCGCTACAGCCTCATCACCCTCAGCTCTGCATTTCCAAGTGCTCCAGCTGGTGGAGGTGCTGGGATCCCCAATTCTTACCACTCCACAAAGGCAACCCCCCCATCCATGAGTTTCGGTACCTGATACCCAGCTCTGCCCAATCCAGGCAGGATGTAACGCTCTACCATGGAACCGGGGCACCTCCAGACTTTGGGGGGCATGTATTTGGGATTCTCATCCTGCTCATCCCTCCTGGTAAGTTTGTGTGAGGGGGATTCTCACCTTGCTCAGCCATCCTGGTGCATGTGTGTGTGGTGAGATTGCCATGGCTCTCATTCTGTTTGGTGACTGTGTGTGTGATTCCCCTCCCATCCTCGTGCATGTGTATGTGTGATTTCCATCCCTCTTATCCCATCCTAGTGCCCATGCGTGGGATTCCCATCCCATCCTATCCCATTATGTGTGTGGGATTTCCATCTCTCTCACCCCATTCAGGTGAGTGAGTACTCATCTTGCTCATCCTGTCCTGGTGCATGTGTGGGATGAGGGGATTTCCATCCCAGTGTGTGAGATTCCCATTCCTCTCATCCCATTCCATGACTTTATGTGTGATTCCCATCCCATCATATCTGTGTGTGCATGTGACTCCCATCTGTCTCATCCCATCCCAATGCCTGTGTGTGTGTGTGGTTCCCATCCCTCTCATCCCATCCCAGGGAGTTGCTGTGTGTGTGATTCCTATTCCATCCCATCCCAGTGCTTGTAGTTCTTCTACCATCCCACTGATCCCATTCCATCCTCCTGCCTGCACTGGAGCCAACAATGGCTGTGCTTGTCTCCCCACTCTCTCCCTCCCCTCGCCCTCATTTCCCATCCCTGCCATTCCCACCCCCCAGCCTAACCCCTAGCCATTCCTGGTGGCAATCTTACAGCATTCAGTGCCCCTGACAGGGTCAGGCAGGCCAGTGCAGAGTCCAGGTGTGTGTGGTACAGCCACCCTCCAGCGCGATCCTGAGCTGTCACAGGCTGTGTACTCGTAGTGGTACTCGGACTGCAGGAGACACAAGGGAGCGTGCAGGGAGCTGTGCCCTGGGCTGTCCCTGCACCCTCTGCTCCCTGACAGGGGCTGGCCCCTGGGCCCAGCAGTGCCTTCAAGGGATGGTTTTGAGTTAAGGTGTGGCAATGTCCTGTGGTGCCCAGGGCCTAGAGAGAGGGGCCTGAGAGGGCGTTCAAAGTGGGGGGATACTGGGGCAGGGGAGAGTTCAGTGTGGGGGGATCCTGGAAAATGGGGGTGGATTTGGGTGGGAGATGCTCTGGATTGAAGGGAGCTGGGGACCAGAGGGATGCTCAGAGTGGGGGAGCATTGTGGCAGGGGGGAGGGGGGGCAGTTTGAGAAGACGCTGGGAAATGGGGGTGCTGTGCGTGGGGGGATGATCTGGCTGGGGTTGCCCAGGAGCCTTGGAGCAGCAGCAGCCCTGCACCCCTCCCTGGTGTGGAGGGGAACCCCTGCGCCCCCTCCTTGCTCCTGGGATCACATGGCACTGTCACGCCCCTTGGCGCGGCTGTGACACACTTTGCTCATCAAACAGCTGTGGCACAACCCGGATCCAGCCGGGGAGCAGCCCGGGCACAGGGCGGGAGCACAGGGGAGACCAGGAGGAACCAGGAAGTGCTGGCGACAGCAGAGGCACCGTGACCCCCCCATCCTCCCACTGCACCAAGCTGAGACTGCCTTAAGGTCGGTGAGGAGACGCCAGGGACAGACGGCGTGGGCAGGGTGAAGGACACATCTGGTGGTGTTGGGGTTTGGGGTACAAGGGGAGCTCCCCACCCCCCGCAGCAGCGCTGAGGTGTCAGAGCCGGTGCTGTGGCTTCATGCTCCCGGCGGCTGCTGGAGCGTGGCAGGTTGATGAGAAAACAATTGCTTTGATGTTCCCATCAGCTGGAAACACAGCAATGGGGGGGGAGGGAAGAGGGGGATGAGGGGGTGTGAAGGGGAAAGAGGGATTGGAGAGGTAAAAGGGGGGTGGAGAAGGAAAACTGGGGACAGAGAGATGCCTGCCGCACCCCCTGCCCATGTACGGACAGCATGGAACCCCCCTGGCCCTGGGATGGGGACACAGAGAAAGGTCCCCACCTCCCTGGGGGTACCCGGAGGGTCACTCCAACTTTCAGCAGCCCTGAACTACCACATTGCTCTCAGTCCTGAGGGATTTCCTTGGGGAGAGGGTATTTTTTCTCTCTTCCTAAACTTTTCCATGTTTTCATTAAATCTACATAAATTGACCTAATTCAGCCCCAGGGTGGCTCTGGGGGTGGAGGGCACCCAAAACTGCCACTGTAACTCTGCTCTGGCCAGGGGAGGGAGAAGGGCTGTCCCTTGTGAAGGACAGGGGACACCTCCTCTGGGGGACTGATCGCTCCTAGGGCAGGTGCCAGCCCCAGTCTATTGTTTCCAGCTCTGGATCACGGAACACGGACAAAAATAATTGTATCAGAGAAAAAAAAAAATCCTGGCCCAGATTTTAAAAGCAGACGCAGGTCTGAGGAGGGGGGAGGAAAACTGGGGGGAGGGGGGCAATACGGACAACCCAGGGAGAGCATTTAGGGGTTCACCCGCTGTCCCCAAGGTGGACAGATCCTGGTGAGTGACAGTTTTTCTTCACAGAATACCATGTGCTAGACTGGGAATGACACGTGGCCGTTGGGATTGCCCCCCCCCCCCGCTCCTTGTCACCCCCCAGCAGCACTCAGGGAGACCCCAATGTGTCTGAGGGGTAGGAACATAGGGACGATGATGGGGTGACACGAGTTGGGGTCCCAAAGCCGAGCCACTGGGAGCAAAGCCACTGGGACCGAGCCACTGGGAGCAAAGACTGCTCCCTGGGCCCCCAGGAAGTCGGCCACTCCCTCCCCCCTACAGGAGACACCCCATCCCCAGCCAGTGCCACCGGGATGCCCGACCCCCACCTGTCCCCTCCTTGTCCCCCCCATCTCATAGGGAGCGGCCTCCCCGTGCTCGGGGACTCCGTTTCATCGGTGTGCGGGGGGAATTTGGGGGTGGTTGCAGCGGTGCCGCTGTGTTACCGGTTGTCCACCCCCCATCCCCCCGCCACTCCCGGTGCTGGTACCTCCTTGCAGACGTGTAGCTGCTCTCCGGTGCGTCCCGGTGACACGGTGACAGCCAGACACAGCGCCAGCGGCATCCACCGGGCTCCGGTACCGGCCATGGCGGCGGCACGGGCGGCGCCACCGGCGGCGGCTCGGCGGGTGCGAGCCCGGGCCCCCCCCCCCCGCCCCCGCCAACGGCCCGGCCTCCGCGCACCTGCCGCTACCTGCCCCCGCCCCCGGGAACGGGAACAGGCACCGGGACGGAACCCCCGGGAACGTCACCGGCATCTCCCCCGGGAACGGCACCGGGCAGCACCTCCGAGAACGGGCACCGGGAACGGTGGGAATGGCACGGGGCATCGCCCCAGGGGATGGGAACGGGCAGTGGATCACGAATAGACTCCCTTGGAACGGCAACTGGCATCGTCTCCGGGAACGCTTGCCATGAGAGCGGCACCGGGAATCGGTATCGAGAACGTTATTCATGGGAATGGCACCGCGCATCGGTATTGGGAATAGAGACACGGGAAGGGAACTCCCGGGAACAGCACGGCCAAGGTTACACCCATGAATGGTACCCTGAGATTGGCGCCGGGCACCGGCACCGGGAGTGCTATCCGTGAGAACGCCGCCGGGAACCCCATCATCCTTGGGAGCGTATCCCCGGAAACGGGACTGGGAATGTGATCTCCGGAACGCGTTCCCGGGAACGGCATCGGGATTTTACCATCGGGAACGGATTTGGGAATGTTACGCCAGGAACAGCACGGGGACCGTCTCGGGGCATCACGCCCCCGGAACAGCCCCTCCTCCCGCCGCCCGGGGCTGGGGGCGGACAGGGACACGGCAGGGGGCGGTCAAGAGCCCCAGCAGCCCGGAGCTGCCTCCACCCCACCGGAGACTGGGTGCCACTCGTGTGCCCTCAGGCCATGTCCTCACGGAGCCAGGCCAGCCCCACTGCACTGGGGACAGGACACGGGACACATGTGGCTGCATATCCTGGGCATGGAGGACATGAGGGACATAGGGGGTACAGGGGACATAGGAACACGGGGGACACAGGAACATCAGGGACACTGGGAATACAAAGGACACGGGAGAATGGGGGACACCGAGTGACACGGGATACAGGGGATATCTGAACATGAGGGATGTAAGAACACAGCTGGTAAGGGGCTGCAGAGGGACACTGGGTACACAGCTGACATGGGAACGCACGGAGATGGGAGACACAGGGGGACATGAAGGCTATGGACAACACGGGAACACCAGAGACATGGGGAACATGGGCATATGGGGGCCACAGTCACAAGAGGACATGAGGGACAGAGCTGCTAAGGTGATACCGAGGTCTCAACTCTGGTGGCAAAGGGTCACCCTGTGGGTTGGAGGACACTAGTGACACGCATCTATCTGTGGTGACACAGGGATGCCAGCAAGTACCACGGGCAGGGGGCACACGGCCACAGGAAGGAAACATGCCTCTCCCTATGGCAGCATGGGGACAACCCCACGCCCACTTGTGCCACAGCTAGACAGTGGCATGGGGAGGCCATGGCCCACGGCATCCACAGTGTCACCCTGGCAGCTGAAGCCTGCCAGGCACCATTAAGCTGGTGACCTCCTCTCAGAGTGTCCCCATAGCAGGGCCACCATCAGCAGCCACCGCAGCTGCTTCTCCCAGTAATGCCAGAATCACAGCCGCCCCCTTTTCACCTCTGTGGCTGTCCTCTCAGGCTCATCCTCTTGTCACCACTGTAGCCACCCCTCAGTCACCCACCCTTACTGTCCCCTTGGCATAACCACGGCCATCCTCTTGCTATCACCACAGCTGTCCTCCTGTTATCACCGTGGCCATCCTCTCGTTACCAGCACAACTGTACTCTTCCACAGTTTCCACAGGGGCTGTCCCCTGGTTACCATCACAGCTTTGGCAGCACCATGGCCATCCCCCAGTCTTCACCATGGTTGTCCTCTTGTGGCCATCCTCTTGTCACCACCACGGCTATTCCCATCCCCAGACACTCCCAATAAAACACAGAGGCCGTGCTGCATGAAGCTCGTAGGTCTAATGAGTCCCTGGTGTCCCGCGGGGCCAGCAAGGTCCGCGCTCAGGTCACAGACGCGGCACGGTGCCACGACAGCCCCGTGTACAGCCTTTGTGCCGCACGCAGCTGCAGGGCCCGGTGAACCACCGCCAGCACGGCACGGAGTGTGCAGACCCCGCACGAACAGCACGGAGCCCGCAAAGCGCGAACGGAGCCTGCGGCAGGGCGCATTTCCCGCCTTGCCGCGGGGCCCGGCCGGGATGAGGCTGGGGCGGTTCGTCTTCCGCCGCTGTCGGGAGCGGCTCGATGTCGGCCCCGGGGCTGCAGACGTGGGCGCGGGTCAGAATCGCAGGGCGCTCAGCGGCCGTGGCCTCGCCTATCTGATCGACTCATCCCGCCCGGCCCAGCCGCACAGCGCCCGAGGGCTTCGCGGCGCTTTCTTCTCACCTCGGCCCGGCGGGGCCCGGCCGATCGAATAAGATCAACGTGTAGGGAGGGAGGGTGGCTGGCGCCACACACACACACACACACACACACACACACACACACACACACACACTCTCTCTCTCTCACTCACACACAGACAAACACACGCACACTCTCACAGGCGCCCACGCACACACACACGCGCGCGCGCACAGCCACAGCCACTTCCGCTCCGGGCCTTTTTCTACCATAGCCGCGCCGAGCACGCCGGAAAGGCGGCGCAGAGCTCGGGCGCGCCCCCGGCCGATCGGAGGACCGCCGAGCACCGCCGAGCACCGCCGAGCACAGCCGAGCATCGCCCGCGTCTCCCGGGCACACGGGCGGCTCAGCGACGAGCGGCAGGCGGGGCCGGGCACACTCACCGCGGGCAGGGCACAGCCCTCCGTGCCCCTCCCTGAGGGGCTGTATCGCTCCCGGCCCCAGAGAGCTGGATGAATCGGGCCAGGAGGCTCCAGTCAGCATTCCCCACCCCACAGCGCCCCCCCCCCTTTATTCGCACAAATCCTCCTCACCCCAGGACTCATAACTACAGGAGCCCTCCACCCCATGGGAGGCAGCCTCCAAGGACCTCCTCACACACACCCAGTGGGACCCTCAACCCACACCACAGGACCCCCAAGCAGGGCACCAACCCCACAGGAGCCCCCCCAGCCCCACAGGACCCCCAGGCCAGCACTGCCACAGAGGAACCCCCACTTTATTTGCATGTGGTGGTCCAATATTTACAACCCGGGGGCGTCACCAACCCCCCACTGCAGGAGACCCCCCCTGAGGGCCCCCCACACTGTAGAGGCATAGGAAGATCCCACGGATCAGGGGGGACCCTGCCAGGCCCCCAGAGCCTGCCATGGTCTCACCAGCACCCTGCTCAGCATCAACAGAAGGGGCTCACAAGTCAGAGCTGGGTCCCCCAGTCCCGGGGGTCCCTTCACCCACTTCTCTACAGAATTCACGAGAAATATTTTTCCAACAGTCTAAAGGTGCTCTGTTGGCCCTCATAGTTGCCCTTGGTGGGCTCAAGGAGGGCGATGGGCCATGATGGTCCCTGGGCTGCCACATGCAGGATCCAGGTTGCTGCCAAGGGTAGGACCAGGGGTGGTTCAGGGTCAGTACCAGGGTCTCCAGGATCAGTACCAGGGTCTCCAAGGTCAGCAATGGGGTCTCTAGTTGGTACTGGGACACAGGTGTCAGTACCAGGCTCTCTGGTCCATACTGGGATTGTTGGAATCAGACACAGGATCTCTAGTCAGTCCCAGGTCTCTCTCAGGTTGCCAGCAGGTCCCCATGTGGTCACTTTCCCACAAGGACGTAGAAGGCCATGAGAAGACAGGACATGGACACAGCCACGTGCAGGCGGGTCCCAATCACAGCAGCTGTGGGTGGGACAAGGATGGGGTGAGGCCCCATGTCCCCATCTCAGATGCATCCTGAATCCCTGTGAGCCCATCCCAGACCCCATGTTCCCATCCCAAACCCCACTGTTCCCATTCCCAATCTCTGTGTTCCTATCCCAGACTCCAAAACCCCCATCCCACATCTCTGTGTCCCCATCCTGAACCCAATGCTCCTGTCCTAGACCCGACCCCAGTGATCCCAGCATCCCCATCCTGTACCCCTGTGTTCCAAGTGCCCCATTCCAGTGTTCCCAGAATCCCCATCCTGTACCCCAGTGTTCCAAGTGCCCCCACCCCAGTGATCCCAGCACCCCCATCCTGTACCCCACATGTTCCAAGTGCCTCCACCCCAGTGATCCCAGCACCCCCATCCTGTACCCCAGTGTTCCAAGTGCCCCATTCCAGTGCTCCCAGCACCCCCGCACCATACCCCAGTGTCCCAAGTGCCCCTCACCCTTGTGGCAGACTCCCCAGATGCCCCTGCGCTCGGACAGGAGCCAGGTGCGCAATCGGGGCACCTTCCGCAAGTACGCACAAGTGCAAACCAGGAGCAGCCCGAACACCAGGAGCCCGTCCAGGGAATAAACTGCGGGGAGATCGGTCGGGGAGGGGTCAGGGGGAACTCCGGGCCACTGCCCAACCCCCCTGCAAGGAGACCCCCACACTCCGTGTGAGCAACCTCCCATCTCTGCCCCTATGAGGGGATGCAGACTCCCCGGGATCCCCCCGAAAGGGACTCACACTGCCCGTGTCCCCACCGACGGCACTCAGAACCGCCAGTACCCCGCCCCCGAAGGGTCACAGTCCCCCAGCCGCCTCCCAAAACTTCCTCTCTCTCAGTACCTTCCCCACATCAGCCCCTTCTGCCCCAAGGCTGCCGGTACCTGAGTGCTCTCCCCATGGTGCCCCATCAAGCCCCCCGCCTTCGGAACCCCCAAAACCCCCGTAATCCCCTCCCTCCATGGTCCTTGAGGCCCCGAACCCTTCCGGACGCCCCGGCCCCTCCACTCCCCAGTTCCCACCACCAGCCATGGTGGCCCCAGGACTCTGCACAACCCCTCGTTCCCCCGTTCCAGCATTGGTTATGCCGGCCCCGGTTGTCCCGAGGCCCCCCTNAGGAGTGCCCGGCCCCACTCCCTCGACCGGCAAGGGGCTTTCCAGAGACCCCGTGGTGGGACCACCAGGGACGTGCCCATTGCTCATGGAATCCTGTCACTGGTTCAGGTATGACA